TATACATGTGAGTGTATGAAAATGAAAATGAAAATAAAAAATTTGTGAGGAAAAAAAAAGAATGTATGAATTTTTTTAAAAAAATAATCCAATAATATATGCTTCACTTGAAGTATAGATTTTTATTTACTTTTTCTGCTACTGTAAGAACATAAAGTTGTGCAGTTATAAACAAGATTTCCACATCTTTGATGTCTTGTATTTGTTAAATTGGTCACTGGTTATCAACTATCCAGTGGTGGGATTCACTTACCTTCCCTACCAGTTAGCAAATGTGAGCTCGCGCACTTTGCTCGCACACACCGCTTCTGCACATCTGCACCTCCTTCTGCACATGTGCACTGCTCATATAGGTGTGGGTGGGCAGAACCTCCAGCAGCTACTGCTACTAGTTCACCCGAACCGGAGAGAACTGGCTGAATACCACCTACCACCTCTGCAACCATCATGAAATCATAAAGAGAAACACTAAGCATGCATGAGGAGAGTCGTTTTGATGGAAGAAAGTGTGCAAGGAAATACCAATAGCACATATTATTTAGATATACTGAACATAAAAAGAAAGCATTATATACATAGAAATTATAAAGTGTCTGTGTAAATCTTTACTGAACACAGAATGAAAATAAGTTTCTTAGCATATAGAGGTATGCTAGTCCTTAGCAACTGCCTTGGACAGCGACTGTTCATATTTAAAACAGTAAATTAGCTATAATTTTCAAATCTGCCATAGTAGGAATGTCACAAGTAGAAGGCAGATGGACTGTCCAACTCCATGAATCAGTTTGTCATCAGTTTCATTGTAGGTAATCCTTGACAAATGACCACAACTGAGTACAAACCATTTGTTGCTAATCAAAACAGTTGTAGAGTGAATTTTATCTTATTTTGCAACCTTTCTTGCCACAGTTGTTAAGTGAATCATTGCAGTTATTAGTAACACCATTTTTAAGTGATTCTGGTTTCCACATTGACTGCTTGTCAGAAGGTGGCAAAAAGTGATCATAGGACCCCAGGAC